ACAAGTTCTTATTTGCTCAGAATGGTATAACAGGTCTAATTGCACCACCTGGGTCGGGTAAGACTTTCACTTATCTTAAAATGGCTGCACAACAACAAGAACTAGATGAGAAGAACCCATTCTATGAGTTAGTTGTCATTTGTAGTACTTCTGGTCAATTTGACCAAACCGTAAATTCGTTCAAAGATATTATAAAAAGTCTAAGTTAGTATGTATAAAAGACTCTGAGTTGTTAGATTGGATAAAGAAGTACCAAAGAAGAGTTTTGAAGTACAATGCTATAAATGAGTATATAAATTCTAAGTTTAAAGACCCAAATGAGGAAATGCAGAGAATATTAGAGAAGAAACACTTCAGAAACAAACAGAAAGAGATAGAATACATTTCGAAGAAATTGCAATCTTACGATTGGAAGACTTACCCTCATAGATGTCTTCTTATCTTAGATGACTTTGCTTCTCATCCTTTGTTAAGAATAGAGAACAAGACATGTGTCGAATTCTTAAGAAGCTCAGACACTTTAACATCTCAGTTGTCATTTGTGTACAGACAGCAAGAGTTTAAGTAAGGATGTTAAAAGAATACTTACTGATATCATACTTTTCCCTGGATTGTCCGAAGACGATTTCATGGAACTTATGAAAGAGTCCATGGCAGGTAAGTTTGACAGACATGAACTATGGAGAAGTACAAAGTCATACAAGACCCTCATACTTCTTTCAGAATTCACATCTACGCGAACAAAGTTCAAATTGTAAAAAGTCAATAAAAATAAAGAGTTTTGTGCTGAATTCAATAAAAATATATTTTTAGGGTAGATGGGTATATCTAACCCGATTTCTAACCTCATTTCTACCCCATATGTCCTTACTGAAAAAGTACGTGTTCCATATGTCATTTTACTCAGAATTTTACTCAGAATTCAATAAAAATATATTTTTAGGGTAGAAGGGTATATCTACCCCGTTTCTACCTCATTTCTACCCCAGTTATTTTATAAACGTTTTCACATGGTAAACATTGTGAATTCGTGAAATTCTAAACAATTTCGTAGCTTCTATTTCTTCTGTCAGTACATCGAATGTTTTTAACGATACCGAAAGTCTCTTTATATTTCTTCTTGACGTCAGATAGAAGGAAATCGTCAGCTGTTGGATAGTTTTTGTTCAGAAATCTAACATGTCCATTTTATTTTCTGCTGGTTTCTCTGCCTCCCTCTTTAAGTCAGCATAGTCGTTTCTCATACGTTCTATCTCTTTGACGGAGTAGTTATATTTCCTAATTGCTGCTTTACATTTTGAACATTGGGTTCATTTTAGCATTGTACATTGAAATCTTACCTGCTAGTATGACTAAGGCGTCAATGGTTTTCTTTAACTCAAAAGTTGCTGGTTTTATCTGTTCGTTCCATACTTTACCTCTTTTATCTTTATCTCTTATCTGCCATACACATTTTGCAACTAACGAAACAAAGTTGTCGTAGGTCTTAAACTCTTCAGATTTGTATATATGTCAGAGATGTTCTTATATACCATGTCGCAATCTTTGTCCATGACTTTGTGGTTGCAATGAAATCCAAGAAACTCATAGTTAACCTTACGTATGAACTTCTTTATTTCTACTGAGTCAGTTGCTTTGACTTCTATTTCATCGAATTCTGGAATAGTAAGCTTTTGTTGTTGGATTTCAGGCAATTTGGGTAAATGGTCAATAATATCCTGCATTTCATAAAGATACTGTTCATTTGTTTCATCTTTCGCACTACAGTCTAAATTACTTGTTAAAAGTTCTTGCTTTATCTTCTGGATTTCTGTCTCAAAAGTATATGAAGAAGGAATGAAGCTTTTCATCTCTACTAACATTGAAGTTGGGTTCATGACTAACGAGTTTGGTGCTGTTGTTGCTAACATGTTCTTACAATAAAAATAAAAAATATTTTTTTAAAAAAACCAACTTTATTTTTATTTCGGGAAAACTCATGACAAATTCAAGAGGGTAGAAAAGAGGTTAGAAAAGAGTTATATCTAACCTTCTACCCTAAAATATATTTTTGCCGCCGAATTCTGTATAAAACTCATGACAAATTCATGAGGGTAGAAAACGGGGTAGAAAAGAGGTTAGATATACCCATCTACCCTAAATTATATTTTTGCCGAATTCAGCAACAAAATTCAAATTGTAAACGGTTTAATAGAAAAAGTGTTATTTTTTCATGTCCGAAGACTCGAAGGTGCAACACTTCCAAAATACCGACGAACTCAGAAGAGCAGCATGGCAGTATGTTCTTGACAACTTCTTTGAGTTCTCCAGGAACACCTTGGAAAATGCTGAAGAACTCCGACACAGAGAATTTGGAGAAATTGCACTCCAATACTACCTTGACAAACAAAGGGTAAACAAAGGGTAAACAAAGGGTAAAATAAGACTAAAAACTTAACGTTTAAAAAGTGACATTTTTATGAGCTCCGAGTCACCGAGAAAACTTGGTCAGATGTTAGCAGCTTACTTCCCTGAGGAGGATGGAAGCGTTACATACGTAAGGTTCAAAAACAACGAACCTGGAATTGCGTACCAAATTCGCAATTACATGACCATGGAAGAGTACGAAAGGTTTCTACAAGAGAAACCAGCTCTAAACAACTCAGAAAAGAAAGAATAAAAAGTTTAATTCGTAATTGTTTATTTTTTTACTTGTAAGGGCAAGCTGCAAGAATGAAGTCGACTATCTCAGTCTTTGTCTTGACCAGTTGGACTGCTCTTGCGAGTACGTCTGTTTTGCGGTCTCCAGCTGGTGTCTGACCTTCGTAATTGCGCATGTTCTTGAGAGCTCCAACTGTAAATGGCTGTAAGATGAAGAGTCTCTCAGACTGCTTGAGGTAGTCTTCACGGTCACGAACCGAATCTGTGGTACGAGTCGAATTGGTCGACCTTAGGGAAGAGACTGAAAGCCTGTCATCTTCCATAGGGGCTGTGGCATACTCTTTGCGTAAACGGTTCAGACCTTCTTCGAACTCTTGGTCTCTCTTCGATTGGGATTGAGATTGGAATTGGGGTGGAGGGTTTGACATGAACATCCAAGGGTTAGGGAAGTAAGGCATGGGTTGAGGAGGTAGTTTGGAAAGCCTTGTGGTGGGTAGTTTGGAAAGCCTTGTGGTGGGTAGTAACCTTGAGGTGGAAATTGGTAGTAATTCGGAGGTCCTTGTTGGAACTGAGGTTGCTGAGGAGACTGTTGTGGTGCTGGAGCATGCTGTTCCTCTGGCTGTGGAACGGGTTCAGTAGGTGGGACGTCGGACATTCGTTTGTGTCTTAACCGTCTTTGTTCTGAAACAATATAATATTGTCTTGAAAAAGTACAACATTGTCTTGAAAAAGTACAACATTGTCTTGAAAAAGTACAACATTGTCTTGAAAAAGTACAACATTGTCTTGAAAAAGTACAACATTGTCTTGAAAAAGTACAACATTGTTCTGAAAAAGTTCAAGACTTGTTCTGAAAAAGTACAGCTGTACTCAAATTTGAGAGACATTGTACTGAAAAAGTACAAATTGTTCTGAAAAAGTACAACATTGTTCTGAAAAAGTACAATATTGTCTTGAAAAAGTACAACATTGTCTTGAAAAAGTACAACATTGTCTTGAAAAAGTACAATATTGTACTGACTCAGTATGGAGCTTGACCCCTTAGACGAAGCAATTTATCTAATTGAGGTAAATGAAACCGTGAAGAATATCTCAGCAAGTGCAAACCAAGCAAGTCCATTGGCTTCTGGTTGTCCAAGAATAGTGTCTTAAAGTTGGAAATTGAAACAGGTGTTGCAATTCAAGTTCCAGAAGGCACTGCATTCGATGATATTAAGGATGTGAAGAAAGAAGCCCTCTTGAAGTTCTTCATGAAACGTCCTTGGATACTACTTCCATATCGTGAGAGCCCAATTCCACGAATTACACAAATTCTCAGAGCACTACTTCACTACTCTGGACAGCCTTCTTCATAACCTCAGAAGGCGACATCCAACCAATTCTTCAGCCAGTTCAGTAAACATCTCATTTTAACTTCACTTTTTTTTATGTTTTTACTCACACTCTACTCAACAGGTTTGTGTACAACTATTTCAACTGTGAACCTTGTATTGACCGGTCTTCCTGCAAATGCAAGTTCGTCAATACACAATTTATGGTGGCAAGAAAGACAGTGGGAATGTTATTCTGACATCTGTTGTTGCGCTCGAGAGAGAATTGAAATTCCAGACCCACCTCCCCCAAGAACTCCAACACCAACACTCAAGTTTGCCGAAGACTCATGTGAAGAAGAAGCCTTCTGGTAAGTTTCTTATAGCCATCTATATGGCACGCTTTGAGTAAAAACATTTTTTTTTTTTTTTGAATGAAGCAAGTTAAATTCGTCCCACACCAATCTCAATGGACCGATGAAGAGTTTCAAGCTATGGTTGAAGGTGTTGAGAACGACATAGACGGCGAACTTGAAGGAGCTCAAAACCACAATTGCAACCAAAATTGCACAAGTCAAGGAACAGATAGCTCCACTTAAAGCTACCAAAGCTACTCTTGACCTCATGGATAGTTACCGTTTAGAAGTAAAGAGTGGAATAAGACAATTAAAATTAAAACTTCTAAACTACGAAGCTATACTCCAAAAGTTAGCAGAAATGAGAAGACTTTACCAGAGCTACTTACATGTAAGGGACTTACCTTCAAGCAGTCCGACCAAAGATGAATTTTCTGACATTGTCCCAATTTTGTCCGAAAGTCAGCTCAGATGTTTCGAACTGCTCCCAACATATCCAGAATATGAACGTTTGCCTGAACTCTTCCGCAATCTCAAAAAACGTTTTTTGTTCTCATGTTCGAAACTTTTATCGGAAGAGACAACAAACGTTCAGAAGAAGAACAAGATATTATTTTAAACTTGTTGTATGACTAACCGTCATAACAAGCTTTTTGAAGTAAAACCGTCATTCTCAAACCACTTCATTTTTTCGATGTCCGAACAAGCACCGAAGCCAAACTCAATGGCAGATGTCCTTTCAATGTTGCCAGACAAGCGCCCAGTTCAAATTCAAATTTTGAATTTGAAAGCTCATCTGACAAACACCGTTAAGACTCTCCAAAGTAGTCTTATGGAAGAGATGACCAAGCTCAAAGCCGATGTCCTCATGAACCAAGCTTCCAATGAGAAATGCCTGAATGATTTGACGGAAACCTTGCGCATTTACGCGAGAGAGAACCGAGACCTTGCCAGACTCATCTACCGTTTCTTCGAAGAGATAGACGCCATCTGGAAGGTACTCGGAAAGGACAGAACATCAACACCGTACTTCGTGAACACAGAATTGAAGAAGGAATTGTCGAGGAAGAAGAGAAACACGAAGAAGAGGAAGAGGAAGAAGAGGAAGAAGAGAAACACGAAGAAGAGGAAGTTTGGGCAACCCTTGTTGCCGATGACACTTACGAAATTTCCCAACCCTACCCATACCAAATCCGCAACAAGGAGACAGGCAAGGTTCTTACCCCAGTCCTCAACAACTTGGGACACTTGAACCTTACCCTTCGGAATCGGTTCAATTCCATGGGCAAGCTTGTCGCAATTCAATGGGTTCCAAATCCAAACAAGAAGACGAAGGTCAGACACATTGACGGTGACAAGCTCAACAACCGTAAGGAGAACCTCGAGTGGTTCTAAGAGTAAAAAAATTTTATTTTAGGGGGAAACCCCGAGTAAATTTAGGTGTTTATTTAGTTAAGTAGCTTAAATTAAGGTAATTTGGACAATTAGTTCCCGACCTCTGAATTGGACTCTTTCGTCATCCCAGTTGCGTAGGAGGTCGTCCCAGAGGAGTTGGTAGAATTGCCAATCCAAGGACGATTTGTCCTCCCAGGCATTGAGGATGTACTGCTCGTAGAGTTCATGACCTCTGCCTTGCACCAGACACCCTCTCCCTTGGAACGTAAGGCTTCTTCGAAGTGCTCGAATGCGATTGGCTGCGGACCATCTGAAATGACACTTTTTGTCCGTTTGGTCAATGTTCGTGTCTCGTGCCATAGTCGACGAAAATACAAACAAACAGGTTATATATGAGTTTGAGACCAAGAATGGTGTAACTCGACCTGTCCGATTCAAATTCGAATAAAAATTTTTTATTTCATGCAATGTTTTATTTCTGTGCCGTCTTCAAGTATGCCCCAGTACTTACGCTTGGAGAGGACATGAACTTCGGTGAAAATTTTGTCCAATTTGAATTGACCCATCTTTTCACCGACCATTCCCATTTCAATGAGTTTGTTATAGCCTTCTTCGTTCGTCATGAGTGCGTCAATGTTCTCATAGTAAACCTTCACTTTGGATTTGACTTCGGAGAAGAATTTGTTGTAGTTGTCAAGGACTGCCTTTGCGAACTGAGGGTAAGACCAATGTTCGACAATAGGTTTTAATGTGGTTACTAAGCCACTTTGACCTTGAGTGAATTCGTACTTCAAAACAAAAGGAGAACCTTTCAACAAAGTTGTCGACCTTCTCATAGTGTTTACTCTTCATCTCTTGAGGTTTCTTAATGGAATATCCCCATGTCGAATTCATAAGCAATTTGAGTGTCATTGCAAGTTTGGGGTTTGAAGCTTTCCTAATATCATACAGTTGTTGTATGACTTTTCCAACTGTATAGTTCCTTCCTGGGAACTCACCATCTTCGTTTGGAATTCCAGTCGGGATATATTGGACGAACCTCATGTACGCAGCGTTAAGGTCGACATAGTATATCTTTTCATCTGAGTCGAACTTGTCGCAACCAATGGGTCCAGTTCGTGGAAATTCAAGTGAGTCTCTTATCTTCTGAGAAACTTCTCCTGTTATCTCATAAACATCGTCGAAGCAACCTGTTTCATATAAAACCTTCTGACCTAACTCAGATGCTCTCCAATACAATTTGACGTCAATTGGATGTCTCAATGGAAGTTTGTTTATAGCATCTTGAAGTTCTTGCAACCTCATTGGAAGTTCTTCTGGTTCAGGTTGGTATCCGAACAATCCAACTCCTTTTGGAACTGTGTACTTCTTTTGTGCTAGAACTTTGTCTGGAACAACTTTTGGTCTTGCTAACAATGAAAAGTTTGTTTCGTCTTTTGGTACAAAAGTTTCTGTCAGCTTGTCATCTGGAATTGGTTCCAACAAACCTTTCTCGAAAAGAATGTTTACAGCTCTGACAATGTTGCACTTGCCTTTTCCGAACAATGGGTTTGTAAGACTTTCGTTCAACATGAAGTGGTTGTGGACAATTACAATCTTCAACCATGGTAAGTCTTTGTCAACAACATAGTCGTCATGTGAAGAACCTTTAGTGGATGTTGACTCGGATATTGACATTTGCCAACGGTGCAATTTTTGCCAATTGACCTCTGAGAATGTACCTTGTCTTCACACATGACTCAAGATACTTCATCTTCTCATCTGTAACAAGACCAGAGTTCCTGAGACATGTAAGAATACAAGGTTCATTGACAATTGTTTCAATTGAATTGTAAATTCCATACCTTGTCAAGTCAATGTCAGACTTATTTATGAACGGGAAGTATCCAGCATGTTGTCTGACTGCTTGAGGGTTAGGTTGGTACCATTCAAATTTTACACTTGCAATTCCTTCAATTGCATTCAAAATGTCTGAGTCGGAGTCAACCATTTGTTCTCTCTTTGTAGTCTTGAAAGCGTCAAGAAGTTGCGCTGTTGTGACATTGCCATGTGCATAGTAAATGTGACCGTCCAAATCTGTTACGGTTAGTCTGAGATTGTATCCTTTCTTATTTCCGTCTTGTATGGCAGCAAGTACTCCCATGAAGCCTTCTTTGTTCTTTCCTTCGTCAAAGTTTACTGTAAAGGTTCGACCAGATGTAATTTGACTTCTAACTTCACGATACTTTTCATATGCATATCTTGTTCTTTCCATGGGAGCATGTGCGTCTTCACCTTTTCCTTTTTTCCTTCTCAAAGGATGCAATTGTTCGTCATGTTTCCAGTAGAATCTGGCAAAGCCGTCGTGTCCTTCAACTTGAGGTTCACTAACATCGAAAGGCATGTCCATAAGACGTTCTTCTTCTAACCTCTCTAGTCTGTTTGGATAATTTGCGCGTGCTGTTTCCAAGTCCATTTCATAGCGAAGACCAGACAATTTGTCATAGACTTTTATGGGTCTTCCCTTCCTATATTTAAACTTCTTTGAAACTTTCCAACCATATCTTTCTAACTCTGCTTTTATTCTAGCAGATTTTCTATCCATTCTATATGGGGGCATTTTTATAAAAATAAAAAAATATTTTTTTCTTTACTTTACATAACCGCCTGCTGCCATAAGTCTTTGACGCCAACCCATACCAGCTAATGAAGGTTGACTTGGTTTAGTTTGGAAACTAAACTTTGGTTTTGGTTTATCTTCAGTTTTTGGTTTTCTTCTTCTATCGGTTTTTCGTCACTTTTCGGTTCCTCTGACTTTACCTCACTTGCAGGTATGGTTGTGTCGTCAACATCTTCATAAATATCATATGCCATTTGTTTTTGTTTTCCTTTCAACTTTTTGTGTTTGTTGTAAAGTTTAGAATATTTCGACTCTAAGTCAATGAGATGTTCTATAATGAACTGTTGGTCAGTGAAGTAAACTTTTCCATCTGTTGTCTCGAAAGCTCCTTCAGACTTCAATATTTTATTTGTGAGAGTCTGTTTCTTTTTTGAGATACTAGCCGTTCCATTTCTATGAAAAGTGACTTTGTAGTTAGGGTTTGTATTTCCAGACCTGGCACTTTCTATTATTGAATTTTTCTCTTCATCTGTAAGTTCTTTGACAGGTTTTGACAATGGTTCTGAACTTTTTGTTTGTGGTGTCAAATCTACCGTTTCAACTTCTTCGGTCATTTCATCTCAGTAAAAAATTTTAGTTTGGTTTGTTTTCAACTGGTTGTTTAGGTTTTTTAAGTCGGTCTAAAACTTCCTGAGGTATAGGAAGAACTTGACAAACACGTGGTTGTGTAACTGCTGGAAGTCGACAAATCCATCTTGAACCCATTTGTCTCAATGCTGTATTGTTCATTTCATCTCAGTAAAAAAATTTACATTCCCCACGTTTGAGGCGGTTGAGGTTGGTTGTTGTTTACCCATTGTTGTGCATGGTTATATCCTCTGTTAAAGAATCTTTCACCTTGGTCCATATAGTGCCTGCTTGGTTATAGTAGTCATTTGCTTTGTTATAGTAGTTTCCTGCTTGTCTTCCTACATTGTCCATCCATCCTTGAACTTTTCCTCTTGTTTCAGGATTTGGAATAAGATTTGCTGCATCTCGTGCTACCTCCCAACCTTTCTGTACAGTTTGTATAATAGGTTGTGCTTTCTCTTTAAGTATACCTAATGTACTCAAAATCTTCCTTCCAATTCCAAATGCACCTCTGGCTATTGTTCCCACTGCGGGCAAAAATCTGGATGCAACTCCTGCTAATGCGCCAAATAAACCCATTTCTTATAGGGTAAAAAATGACGAATCCAAACAAGGACCCCTATGTTTCTAAAGCACAAAGAAAGCACTCATGATAAAAATCTTTAGTTCAACACCAAATGCTTGGTTTATGGATATCTTGGAAAACATTCCGAGGTATAGAGAAGATGGACCACCATACTGGCTAATATTTGTCGGTCAAAACACAAGATACTGTGAAGCCATACCATTACAGTCCAAAAATATTTTAGATGTGAAAACTGCTTTGACAATATTCGTTGACAAATACCATCCAACAAAACTGACATCTGACTGTGAAAGTTCTTTCAAATCAGACGATATTAAAAACTATCTGCGTTCAAAAAATGTAAACCAATATTTCATTGTCGACCAAAACCATTCTGCTCTTGGTGTCATTGACAGTTGTATAAAAATCTTAAGAGACTTAAACCAACCACAAGGTGGTGAGGTAGATGAAATGTCATATGACGACAAATATAGACACTTCTCCATGGCAAAGATGAGACAAGTTTTAAATATTTACAATAGCCGTAAACAAAAAGGTTTGGGAAACCACTCCCCCGAAGAAATGAAAAACAACCCTGACTTAGAGAAAGACTATATATTTAATAGTTTAGTCAAAAGAGACAAACAAGAAAGAATGCCAGGCTTCAAACTTAAGAAAGGTGACAAAGTAAAAATAGAAATACCTAAACGCGACCCATATGAAAATACTATTGACTATGACAACAATGGGAACTCGACAGGTACTCACATTCGTGTTCGTAAAAATAGAAGAAAGTATACAAGAGAATATTATGAAGTTTTAGGCAAACATGGCAAAATGTACAGACTGCAAGCAGAAGATAAAACTACTATTGTCAGACCTCGTTTCAAACTTGTCAAAGTTCAAGGTGGTATACTTTCAAAGACAGTTCCTAACAAATATAAGACAACTCCTGACGAATATGCTAAAGAAGTTGAAAATGACGACTAAGCATTTCTATACCATGCGTAAACTGTCATGTAAGGTGGCATGTATTCTTTACTTTGTCCCGTTGTTTGCGTATACCCTGAAACGCGATGTGTATGGCTTCCTCCTACCTCAGTGTTATTCCAGTAACAATTTATAGCAAACTTAACGTCCTCTTTAACATCATATCCTTTACCTTTTGTCATTCCTGACCAATCCCAAAATCTATGACTATGCAAACCTGCTTCAGATGTACTTAAACTTACGTAGTGACTGTGCGCAGGTAAATTTGCACCTGAAATCGTTTTACTTCCACCTGTTTCCTTTGAAGAGTTTGCACAATACAAAAACCTGTCGACTATTTGAGTCCAAGTTCCAAAACCAAGTACTACTTCTGGTCTGGTAGAGTTCATTGACGTGTAAATAGAACCTATAGGATATACTGTTTGAAGTATTTCTGTCTTTAATGTTTGAAGCTCTGTTTTGTCTGCTTTTTTATATAACTTTTCTTCAAGTTCATTTACGTCAGAGATGCTATGTCTATGATATTTTTGTGGGTATGTTCCTTCTGTCCATGCGAAAATACGTTCTTTTGTTGCATCTACATATCCTTTTATCCATGTCGAGTCTGCTTTTGTATTCCTTAACTCTGTAACACCTTTCTCAAGCTCTTTCAACTGTTGTCCATCTTCCATTAAACCTCTGGTATGACTTGAAACCGTTTGTGTCAACATATCTACAGTTTCTTTGTCGGCTTTAAGGTCTAAACATCCTGAAACCCATCCTGTATCAGCTTTCGTTTTTAAAATCTTTGATGTCCGTTCATTATACCATTCAACCCTTTCTTTAATTTCATTGTCTTTTTCATCCACATATTCCTTATCTGCCTTCTTCACTAACACACTAGCCATAAGTCCCTTATCTACTTTCTCCTCTAACTCACTGTTGACATATGTTTTGTCAGCTTTCTTTTCAAGGCTAACGTTTAAGTCTGTTATTTCAGATATAGAATGTGTATGTCCAACGTCACTTTTCCTGTTTAAGGTTTCTTGTAAGTTTGTAATATTTGCAATGGTATGTGTATGAGTCTTTTTAGAATATTCTTTGTCAGCTCTTGTCACTTCACTTGACATTTTATTGTCAACATATGTTTTGTCTGCTAGTTCAGGATGAGTATGTTCTTTTGTTGCATATGTTGCATCTGCTCTGTCATGTTCTTCTTGAACTTTTTCAATGACATACTCTTTGTCAGCTTTGTTGTCAACATCTGCTTTCAAAAGAAGTTCTTTTATAGGTTTCTCGTTTAAAGTTCCTTTTGTTGGATTTATACAAACAGTATGGTTCTTACTGTCTTGAAACAGAAACTCGTCTGTCATTGGGTTTAATGTCAGTTTTAAGTTTCCTTCTTTCAATGACTCAGATATCTTAGAATAGTTTGAAAAGTTTGTTGTGTTCTTATTTAGAGCTTGCAAAATGAGTTGTCGGTTGTGTTTTATTTCTCTCATAGACGCTGTTTCTTTCGACATTTTTATTCTAGATAAAATATGCTTTCAATAGAAAAAGAAAATTCAAGAGTTGCTACAACTAAACCATTAGATGAACTTTTTACTAACGTAGGTCAAAAGTTTGAGACAGAGACCGTAAAACATGAAGGCTATCGTTTTGACTACCCACTAAGATGGTTAAGAGACCCATCCGTCACAAAAGCTATTGGCTTTCGTAGAATGAAGTTCATTTCAGAAGCCATACATGGGTTCCCATTTACGGTCGCTTTTGAAGTTCGATACTATAACAAAGAAAAACGTACGTATGAGAAATTTGAACAGGGAAAACTTTTACAAGTGAATTTGCTTGTAAACTTAGAAACAACTCTTCAAGCTTTTCAAGAAAAAATAAACGATATCTATCTCGAATATGCAAAACAGTACAACATTGACGAAGGAGAGTACCATCTCGATATTGTTTATGACAGGAAAAATGCAACTGTTAAAATCAATAGAATAGAAGACCTTGGAGAAGACGTTTATATTTCTACAAAATATAACAACTTGGCATGGTATAGATTTTTGAGGATGTTAAATCAGCCTGCAGAATATCCAGTACACCCGAACTTTTATGAAGTCGAAAACCCTAATGGAACATATGAAAATGTTTTCGACTCAGATGCTATTATCGTTCATGCTTCATTTTCTGGTGCACAAAACTCTTTTTTATGCTTGGCAAATGACTTTTACGAAAAACCTACAAAGCTATATGAACCACCAAGTGGAAGTATTTCAGACTTTCAAGTATGGTTTACTACAGATGGAAGAAAGAGAATAGTTCCATTATACCATGCGTTTTACTTAGAACTTAGTTTCATATACAACTACTATCGAACGGTAAAAATATAATTTTTAATACGGTTGAGGTGTTGGATTTGGTTGCCAACTAGACTGTGGTGCAGGTTCAGGCTGTTGTATAACAGGAGCTTGCTCTTCTGGTTCAGGGTCTTTAGGTATAATACCAACGAAACTGACCTACTCTTTTGCCAATATTTTTGACTCCGTTCCAAATTCCTCTTCCGACGGTTTTTATTCCATTCCATATACCTCTTCCAACATTTCGAAAGAAGTTTCCTATTCTTCCAAAGAAACCCATTTTACTATATGTAAAAATCTAATGTCCACCTAGTCTCTTACGTTTCCTTCTGAGTTCCATAGCATTCTTTAACTGGAGCTCATACATTCTATTTCTCCTCTGGTAGAAAACATACTTCTGGGTCAACTCCTGTGTTCGCGTCATCTGCATAGAGTTGTTTATATCCCACTTCAGGGTTTGTATAAAACTCTTTCCATCTCATATTTGCATACCATGGTGGCAAACCTAACGCAGCGTCATTTGACATGGCAGTTTGCATTTGTACATCTGTTGGCACTTGACCATAGTTTGCCATTGCAGTTTGTATTCTAACTTCATTTGGAATATTCTCTGGTTTGGTTGTCCAGGTTGCTGTGCATTCGCTAAGTTCTGTGCGTCCATTTAATATTAGATAAAAATATCTCTTACGAGTACATATGCTGAACATTTGCAGGCATTGGTTCATCTTCATATTCTCTATATTTTCTGCCACGTCAAATAAGTAAATGACACATGGAAAAAACCTAAAAAGTAGTCCTATTTCAAACCACATTTACTTACTAGTAAAATTTCTTTGTTATGACACTTTCTCCAGTTTATAGGACCTCTCTCATATTCTATCTTATCGTATCTAAACTCATAGTCATGTATGTCCTCTAACCATCTCATGACACTTTCCAAACCACTTTTATCGGATGTAAAGTAAAAGCATGGATGGTTATGTAAAACGTCTAAAGTTTCTAAAGAGTCTCTCAAAGTCCAGTCTACTTGGTATTGAAAATCCCATGTGTTATAGAACGGCGGGTCCACTATAAAGAAAACATTTTCCTTGTCTTTATATTTTTCATACAACTCTGTCCAATGACATCTCACAAACTCTATACCCTCAATATATTTTTTCTATGTTCTCTTTGAAAACATTTGTATAGTTAAGATATAAAACTTTTGACATAAGTGTTTCAATGTCATGAACTCTTATAGCACCACTATATAATAGTCTAGCAGATATACTATCCCAGTCAATATACTCTGCCTTTTTCAAAACCTCTCTGACAGTATTTTTCTTATCTAATGGTATACGTTCCATCTTACCTATAGGTATCTTTTCTTTTAACTCTTTCAATATTTTGTTTGTGTCTGGTATATGTTTGAGACGGTTCATATAGTTGTCGAAGTCATTGCATATAATCTTTGAGTCAGGAAATACAGTATGGCACAAATGGGATATATAGAAACTTCCACCGAACAAATCTACAAATGTTAGACCATTCGGTAGTTTCTTAAGTTCTCTCAATAGAATATCTTTACATCTACTCTTATTTCCAAAGAAGGGTAACGGTGGTTTTGTAAAATTCATTTTATATATATAATAAAAATGTTTTTTCCTGAAAAGTGACAAAATTTCTTAGGGGCTAGAGGGCACGAAGTGCCTGGAAGCCCCACTACCTTTTTTTTTTTTTTTTTTTTTTTTTTTTTTTTTTTTTTTCACGATTTTGGCTGCGTTAAAAATCAAAGAATTGATGTTTTTGTCAAAAATCTTTTAGAAGAAGTTGCACCCAATTACTTTTATCGTATTAAAAACGATTTACTTCAAACAGGTTTTATTCCTTCAATTAGAATTCGCGAGCCTCGATTGACAGATTATAAAACAAAATTGAAAAGAGAAGTTCAATCACGTTTATACCAAGTATTAAATTTTGTTCAGAATCAAGAAGCCAATTTGAATCCATTAAGATTTTTATTGGAAAATGCTGAAGAAAAACTTTCTCAAATAAATGAGAAGATACAAAATTCAATTACATATTTAAGATCGTTTGAAATTCCAAATGAATTGTTAGATACGTATATGTTAGAAATTAATGAATTTTGTTATAATTCTCCAGATTATATTTTAGAACATTTCGAAGAATTTTTGGAGGATTTCAAAGAAAAGAATAATTTAATAGACTAAAAAATTTATTATTTTATTTATTGTGAATTTTAAATTGTCACTTTAACTGTTACTCCTATTGAAAGTGTCACTTTTTGGGTGTCACTTTTTCGGAAATTCTTATATACTCTAAGAAAAACTTTGTGAAATTTTGATTGTTGCAACTGTATTCGGAGATTTACTTCTGAACAAAATGTATAATGTCGGTGAGAAATAAAGATGGTCTGTTGTGTAATTTATAACTTTGTATTGAAATGTTGGTTGATAATAAGAATAATTAAAATCGTAATCATCCGAAGATGTGCTTATGTTCAATCTAACATCTGTTGGATCTAAGTAAACTGAGCAGTAATTCTTATTGATTTCATATTTTTTATTTGAATAATTGAAAGCTAGATCGTTCGATTCGGATAGAAATTCTATGGAATCGCAGTAATTTGGAAAAGAAACTACACAAAATCTTACTTTATAATTATAATACGTGTTTGTTGATTTAAAATTAAAAGTTGGCTCTGTGATTTTCCATATTTTGCTTGTGCATGATTCATAGTTAATACGCAAGTAATCGCTCATATATGTATCTTGTAGAATAAAATAATAACTAAATGATTTGTTATCTGCAAATGAAAAAGTAATATCTTGACCATATGAACCAATGTCAATTAAATAATCTCCTGTTCTGTTAATTATACCATTGGTGATTGTATAGTAAAACCAGGACATTCACAATGATTTTAATTTGAAAGCGGATCTATTCAGAATGAATTTTGAATATTTTACACAGTCAGATTGTCAAATCATTTTAGTTTATTGGATAATCCTTTTAATGTATTATTTTTAAAATTTTAAAAATAAAATAAAAGTGGATCCAAAATTTTTGTATCAGAATGGGTCAATATTTCATGAATCAGTCCTCAAGAACAAAAATGAAGAAGGTCGTAATTGCCTTATGCATCTAAGCTACTATCCAAAAAAGAGAAATTGGATTAGAAAAGGATTATGAGTGATTGAAATTAATACGTGTGCGAATAACCATGGATTTGTAAAAATTAATGCTTCAGAAATACAACATTTTGCTATTGAGAATTCCTTGTAAAGTCCAAATCTCAAAATACATAATTTTATATTTAGTTTGTTTGATGTTGAAACTATATTACCACCAAGAAGAGACAATATTATCTTAGTAAACATGTTTCAATTAATTTGATGTTCTTGGATATAAACTGCGAGTCAAAAGGCGTACCTACCTTCAACTTTTTGAGAGAAGTCATACAATTAATTATATGAGTTTCTCTCAAAAAGTCGATTTCTGCCAGGTACACCTTTTGGACCGCACAAGCTATTTGCTCTAATTCGATATAACAACAAAGGATCATAAAACAGATATAAATATAGGATGAACTGATACGATTTTTTCGGGTCTAACTTCAAAATTTAAGATTTCGAAATTTAATACAAGCTTCAAACCAGAAATTTAAGCATAAATAGAAGCTGATTTGCTACCTATTGCACGTGAAGCTTATTTGAGCTCTAATATTTAATAATTTTCTCTCGCTCTCAGTGAAGGCACCGTTAGCATTAGAAATGTAAACTATTCAAAAATTGATAGGTCCGCCTTTTGATTCGCAGTTTAAAGCATAAATTTTGTCAATTAAATTTTAATTACAGAATAAAAAGAAAAGTCAATAAAAGCATATGAAAGCTGACACGAATTATTCATAAGGATTATCGAATAATGATTTCGATTTTTGTGAATAATTTGGTATTTCTTTTGTTTCGATTAAATATGGATTTATTTGAACCTCTTCTAAAGGTAATGGTTCGGATTTATTAGATACTTCTTCTAATAGACAACTTCTATTATCAATGAAATGTTCATGAATTATTGATTGTGTTTCCTCTCTTTTTTCTTTTTTTTTAAGACATAAAAGAGGAATTGCAATGCTTGATGGTAATGATAGTCTTATTGTTATCAATTAAAATTATCTCCCATCCTATATAATAAAATTTGATTCAATATTACTAAATACTTTATGTTTCTTAATAATTGAGATGCCTAAAATGTTGATAATGTTGTTATAAACTTATTTTCACACGCTCAATCTTATGGGAGTAATAAGAATTGTAATAAAAAAAACATTATAAATCTTTAAAGATTCGTTCATAAACAATATATAAAAAATAGTTATTCATAAGGATTCTCGAAATAAGTATTTGATTGTTCTTGCTTTGGATTATATGCTGGTGCTTTATATTCATTAGGATATGGATTGCTGTTCGTTTCTTCTAAAGGTAAATCTTTTTCGGTTTTATCAACAAGGCTTTGATTAATTGGATTTTCAGCTCTGAATTTTCTGTGTCTATAACATAAGTAAGCAGCGACAGCAATGAGACCTGCTCCAACTGCTGCTCCAATAATAATTTCCAAAACAGCACCTTCACTTAGTCCTTCATCACTATCATCATCAGAATAATTATGATCATCTGATTTTTGTTCAACTGGTTCTGATGAATTTATTTCATGATACGAATTATCAAAAATGATAAGAGATCTATGAGTTGAATTATTTCCTTTGATTAAATATGATGTATTATATTTGTCGCCAGCATGATAAAAAAATAAGTAATCGTGTTTAGAATTAGTTATTGTTAGAAAAGGTTTTTCAACAATAATATTAGCTCTATTTATTTTTCCATAGACATCATAAATATCACCATCTTCGAAATGAACTGTTCCATTTGTGAAAGCAGTAACAACACATGTATGAGCTGTGTCCTGAGAAGTGAATTTGTAATTAGACCTTACATTTGTGATAATCGAAGTGCAATCATAATAATTCAAATTAAAAACAACAAAATTACATGGAATAGGTTCGTCACTGGAGGATTCTAATGTAATTGTACCTGTGTGAGCGAAATAAATTGCTGAATATTGTGTATTTCCAAGAATTTCTAAAGATACTTCTGAAGTTCTTGCTTCTCCGGAAATGTTGCGATAATCAGTAAATACTACGTATTGTTCCTTATAAAAATTAAGTTTTGTTTGATTTCTGCCAATTAATAACTTTTGAATTCCGAATATTTTGTATTTTGGCTGGGATCCAAAAGAAATTGATTGGTTGCAAAGATATTCGAGCTTGTCCTTATCATAAGCACTGTATGTATCATAAGAAAAACTTTGTGAAATTTTGATTGTTGCAACTGTATTCGGAGATTTACTTCTGAACAAAATGTATAATGTCGGTGAGAAATAAAGGAAACAATAAGAATTACCGAAAAAGTGACAAAACATCAAAAACAGGGAGGGGGTCTCAATTTTTATTACTTATATTATTTTACAATATTTATATAAATACTCTTTATAATATATTTTACTATAAAATTATACCTCAAATTCAAATATTTATAATATTATTTACATAATTATCTCAAAATTATATTTTTATATATTATTTTTCATATGTATAAATCATATAATCTATATCTATGCAAATCTCATCTAAAATTTTTTGAAGCAAACCGCTACCATTTTATAATGGTCCATCTTAAATTCATCATAAATTCTGGTACATGTTAGTACCAGAGTCTTCAAATCTCAAACACTCTGGTACCAACATGTACCAGACGCGAGTTTCCAATGCCCTCGTACGATTTTCTATTAAGATCTTCTTGAATGAGAAGGTCTTCATAGAAACTCGTACGAGGGCTTCTCTTTTAAATACTCTGGTACCTGCTGGTATCGGAGTCGACTTTACAGCCCTTTCCCCAATTTTGAAGCTGGGGAAAGTTTTCAAGCAATGAAAGGGAAGCTCTCGCTATGAGGTGAAAATCTAGAATTTTTACCTCATAGCGAGTAATCCTTTGTTAATTGCTTGAAAACTTTCTTCAAATTATCAAAATTTCGAGGAAAGTTTCCTTGCTTCAAAGTAGAGATGGAGCCCTTTGAGCCACTGCATATAGGTCAGTGACTCAAAATACTCCATCTCTACTAGAAATCGCCAAAATTTGGGTCGCAATCTTTGAAATGCGACGCAAGTTTGGGCAATTTCGCGAGGGACTTGCTCCATTTGGTGCATAGATTCACACTCTATGCACCAGATGGAACAATTCTTTCGCTGACAGCGGGAAACTTTGTCTGAATAGTTTAACATTCAGACAAAGTTTCCCGCTGTCAGAGAGGGAATGGAAGGGTAAGAGGTATATATTCATAATGTATACCTCTTACTCTTCCATTCCCTCAAGAAAGTTCAAAAACTTGGGTGCAATCAGTTCTGATTGCACCCAAGTTTTTGAACTTTATATAGGGAATTGTTGGCTATGTTGTACTGATCATGAATCAGTACATCATAGCCAACAATTCCTTCGCAAACAGTGGGAAACTTTGTCTGAATAGTTTAACATTCAGACAAAGTTTCCCGCTGTCAGGGAGGGAATTAGAGGGTGGGAGATATATAGATAGACTATAAATCTCTCACCCTTTAATTCCCTCAAGAAAGTTCAAAAACTTGGGTGCAATCAGAACTGATTGCACCAAAGTTTTTGAATTTTGTATAAGGAATTGTTGGCTATGATGTGGATAGCCGCTGCCAGACCAAATGAATTAACCGTTGTGAATAACGTTTCTGAATCTTTATTTAAAAAGATAAAATATCACGATTTTGGCTGCGTTAAAAATCAAAGAATTGATGTTTTTGTCAAAAATCTTTTAGAAGAAGTTGCACCCAATTACTTTTATCGTATTAAAAACGATTTACTTCAAACAGGTTTTATTCCTTCAATTAGAATTCGCGAGCCTCGATTGACAGATTATAAAACAAAATTGAAAAGAGAAGTTCAATCACGTTTATACCAAGTATTAAATTTTGTTCAGAATCAAGAAGCCAATTTGAATCCATTAAGATTTTTATTGGAAAATGCTGAAGAAAAACTTTCTCAAATAAATGAGAAGATACAAAATTCAATTACATATTTAAGATCGTTTGAAATTCCAAATGAATTGTTAGATACGTATATGTTAGAAATTAATGAATTTTGTTATAATTCTCCAGATTATATTTTAGAACATTTCGAAGAATTTTTGGAGGATTTCAAAGAAAAGAATAATTTAATAGACTAAAAAATTTATTATTTTTATTTATTGTGAATTTTAAATTGTCACTTTTTAACTGTTACTCCCTATTGAAAGTGTCACTTTTTGGGTGTCACTTTTTCGGAAATTCTTATATACTCTAAGAAAAACTTTGTGAAATTTTGATTGTTGCAACTGTATTCGGAGATTTACTTCTGAACAAAATGTATAATGTCGGTGAGAAATAAAGATGGTCTGTTGTGTAATTTATAACTTTGTATTGAAATGTTGGTTGATAATAAGAATAATTAAAATCGTAATCATCCGAAGATGTGCTTATGTTCAATCTAACATCTGTTGGATCTAAGTAAACTGAGCAGTAATTCTTATTGATTTCATATTTTTTATTTGAATAATTGAAAGCTAGATCGTTCGATTCGGATAGAAATTCTATGGAATCGCAGTAATTTGGAAAAGAAACTACACAAAATCTTACTTTATAATTATAATACGTGTTTGTTGATTTAAAATTAAAAGTTGGCTCTGTGATTTTCCATATTTTGCTTGTGCATGATTCATAGTTAATACGCAAGTAATCGCTCATATATGTATCTTGTAGAATAAAATAATAACTAAATGATTTGTTATCTGCAAATGAAAAAGTAATATCTTGACCATATGAACCAATGTCAATTAAATAATCTCCTGTTCTGTTAATTATACCATTGGTGATTGTATAGTAAAACCAGGACATTCACAATGATTTTAATTTGAAAGCGGATCTATTCAGAATGAATTTTGAATATTTTACACAGTCAGATTGTCAAATCATTTTAGTTTATTGGATAATCCTTTTAATGTATTATTTTTAAAATTTTAAAAATAAAATAAAAGTGGATCCAAAATTTTTGTATCAGAATGGGTCAATATTTCATGAATCAGTCCTCAAGAACAAAAATGAAGAAGGTCGTAATTGCCTTATGCATCTAAGCTACTATCCAAAAAAGAGAAATTGGATTAGAAAAGGATTATGAGTGATTGAAATTAATACGTGTGCGAATAACCATGGATTTGTAAAAATTAATGCTTCAGAAATACAACATTTTGCTATTGAGAATTCCTTGTAAAGTCCAAATCTCAAAATACATAATTTTATATTTAGTTTGTTTGATGTTGAAACTATATTACCACCAAGAAGAGACAATATTATCTTAGTAAACATGTTTCAATTAATTTGATGTTCTTGGATATAAACTGCGAGTCAAAAGGCGTACCTACCTTCAACTTTTTGAGAGAAGTCATACAATTAATTATATGAGTTTCTCTCAAAAAGTCGATTTCTGCCAGGTACACCTTTTGGACCGCACAAGCTATTTGCTCTAATTCGATATAACAACAAAGGATCATAAAACAGATATAAATATAGGATGAACTGATACGATTTTTTCGGGTCTAACTTCAAAATTTAAGATTTCGAAATTTAATACAAGCTTCAAACCAGAAATTTAAGCATAAATAGAAGTTGATTTGCTACCTATTGCACGTGAAGCTTATTTGAGCTCTAATATTTAATAATTTTCTCTCGCTCTCAGTGAAGGCACCGTTAGCATTAGAAATGTAAACTATTCAAAAATTGATAGGTCCGCCTTTTGATTCGCAGTTTAAAGCATAAATTTTGTCAATTAAATTTTAATTACAGAATAAAAAGAAAAGTCAATAAAAGCATATGAAAGCTGACACGAATTATTCATAAGGATTATCGAATAATGATTTCGATTTTTGTGAATAATTTGGTATTTCTTTTGTTTCGATTAAATATGGATTTATTTGAACCTCTTCTAAAGGTAATGGTTCGGATTTATTAGATACTTCTTCTAATAGACAACTTCTATTATCAATGAAATGTTCATGAATTATTGATTGTGTTTCCTCTCTTTTTTCTTTTTTTTTAAGACATAAAAGAGGAATTGCAATGCTTGATGGTAATGATAGTCTTATTGTTATCAATTAAAATTATCTCCCATCCTATATAATAAAATTTGATTCAATATTACTAAATACTTTATGTTTCTTAATAATTGAGATGCCTAAAATGTTGATAATGTTGTTATAAACTTATTTTCACACGCTCAATCTTATGGGAGTAATAAGAATTGTAATAAAAAAAACATTATAAATCTTTAAAGATTCGTTCATAAACAATATATAAAAAAATAGTTATTCATAAGGATTCTCGAAATAAGTATTTGATTGTTCTTGCTTTGGATTATATGCTGGTGCTTTATATTCATTAGGATATGGATTGCTGTTCGTTTCTTCTAAAGGTAAATCTTTTTCGGTTTTATCAACAAGGCTTTGATTAATTGGATTTTCAGCTCTGAATTTTCTGTGTCTATAACATAAGTAAGCAGCGACAGCAATGAGACCTGCTCCAACTGCTGCTCCAATAATAATTTCCAAAACAGCACCTTCACTTAGTCCTTCATCACTATTGTAATAAACAGAAATTCATCAAAAGTGACAGCTCTCAATTTTTTGACATTTGTAAATTCTAAATTGAATGAGAAAAATGAAATAATACTAAGCATAATACAATATTCTAGATTTAATTATAATTAGGAAAAAGTTAGTTTTGAGAGTACTTTTCATAGGCATATAGAATGAAATCTTCTGAAAAATAATATCACATAAACTCATATTATTTTCTAATATATAACTATTTTATATAAAAATCAAATTCAATGATCTTAAAAGCGAAGGATAAACCTCAAAATTTACGAATATAATGAGTGGGAATATAATGCTTATCTATCATAAAACCATATGAAATATCAATTTTTGCTTTACGCCTAATTTTTGACGACAATTAGCAAAAAATGTTAAATGTTAACACTCAGTCCATTTGAATATGAAAAATAAAATTGACTTTGATTAAATGTTTTTATTTATCATGCAATTCTTCTTGCGACCAAAGATTTGAATAAAATTTCAAAAAATAAGATAGCTGAAAAAATAATATACGGTAGTGTTTACTAATAGATGAATAGTATATAAATTCTATTAAAATGGATTTCATCCAAAAAAATATATAAAATTTGATCATAAATAAAATCGTTTTAAATTACTTCTTCATTTAAATTATAACAATTATTTTTGGTTTTATATTTTTTTGGATCAAATCCATTTTAATAGAATTTATATACTATTCATCTATTAGTAAACACTACCGTATATTATTTTTTCAGCTATCTTATTTTTTGAAATTTTATTCAAATCTTTGGTCGCAAGAAGAATTGCATGATAAATAAAAACATTTAATCAAAGTCAATTTTATTTTTCATATTCAAATGGACTGAGTGTTAACATTTAACATTTTTTGCTAATTGTCGTCAAAAATTAGGCGTAAAGCAAAAATTGATATTTCATATGGTTTTATGATAGATAAGCATTATATTCCCACTCATTATATTCGTAAATTTTGAGGTTTATCCTTCGCTTTTAAGATCATTGAATTTGATTTTTATATAAAATAGTTATATATTAGAAAATAATATGAGTTTATGTGATATTATTTTTCAGAAGATTTTGTGTTCTTCTTCAAAATTTTATTTTTTTATTAAAAAGAATCTTTACAAAATATACATTTACTTTAATTAATATTTAAAAACGTGCTCTATCAAAAGTTCCAAAAATTCAATATTTTAGCTTTTCTGAGGTGTCACTTTTGATGAATTTCTGTTTACAACACTATCATCATCAGAATAATTATGATCATCTGATTTTTGTTCAACTGGTTCTGATGAATTTATTTCATGATACGAATTATCAAAAATGATAAGAGATCTATGAGTTGAATTATTTCCTTTGATTAAATATGATGTATTATATTTGTCGCCAGCATGATAAAAAAATAAGTAATCGTGTTTAGAATTAGTTATTGTTAGAAAAGGTTTTTCAACAATAATATTAGCTCTATTTATTTTTCCATAGACATCATAAATATCACCATCTTCGAAATGAACTGTTCCATTTGTGAAAGCAGTAACAACACATGTATGAGCTGTGTCCTGAGAAGTGAATTTGTAATTAGACCTTACATTTGTGATAATCGAAGTGCAATCATAATAATTCAAATTAAAAACAACAAAATTACATGGAATAGGTTCGTCACTGGAGGATTCTAATGTAATTGTACCTGTGTGAGCGAAATAAATTGCTGAATATTGTGTATTTCCAAGAATTTCTAAAGATACTTCTGAAGTTCTTGCTTCTCCGGAAATGTTGCGATAATCAGTAAATACTACGTATTGTTCCTTATAAAAATTAAGTTTTGTTTGATTTCTGCCAATTAATAACTTTTGAATTCCGAATATTTTGTATTTTGGCTGGGATCCAAAAGAAATTGATTGGTTGCAAAGATATTCGAGCTTGTCCTTATCATAAGCACTGTATGTATCATAAGAAAAACTTTGTGAAATTTTGATTGTTGCAACTGTATTCGGAGATTTACTTCTGAACAAAATGTATAATGTCGGTGAGAAATAAAGGAAACAATAAGAATTACCGAAAAAGTGACAAAACATCAAAAACAGGGAGGGGGTCTCAATTTTTATTACTTATATTATTTTACAATATTTATATAAATACTCTTTATAATATATTTTACTATAAAATTATACCTCAAATTCAAATATTTATAATATTATTTACATAATTATCTCAAAATTATATTTTTATATATTATTTTTCATATGTATAAATCATATAATCTATATCTATGCAAATCTCATCTAAAATTTTTTGAAGCAAACCGCTACCATTTTATAATGGTCCATCTTAAATTCATCATAAATTCTGGTACATGTTAGTACCAGAGTCTTCAAATCTCAAACACTCTGGTACCAACATGTACCAGACGCGAGTTTCCAATGCCCTCGTACGATTTTCTATTAAGATCTTCTTGAATGAGAAGGTCTTCATAGAAACTCGTACGAGGGCTTCTCTTTTAAATACTCTGGTACCTGCTGGTATCGGAGTCGACTTTACAGCCCTTTCCCCAATTTTGAAGCTGGGGAAAGTTTTCAAGCAATGAAAGGGAAGCTCTCGCTATGAGGTGAAAATCTAGAATTTTTACCTCATAGCGAGTAATCCTTTGTTAATTGCTTGAAAACTTTCTTCAAATTATCAAAATTTCGAGGAAAGTTTCCTTGCTTCAAAGTAGAGATGGAGCCCTTTGAGCCACTGCATATAGGTCAGTGACTCAAAATACTCCATCTCTACTAGAAATCGCCAAAATTTGGGTCGCAATCTTTGAAATGCGACGCAAGTTTGGGCAATTTCGCGAGGGACTTGCTCCATTTGGTGCATAGATTCACACTCTATGCACCAGATGGAACAATTCTTTCGCTGACAGCGGGAAACTTTGTCTGAATAGTTTAACATTCAGACAAAGTTTCCCGCTGTCAGAGAGGGAATGGAAGGGTAAGAGGTATATATTCATAATGTATACCTCTTACTCTTCCATTCCCTCAAGAAAGTTCAAAAACTTGGGTGCAATCAGTTCTGATTGCACCCAAGTTTTTGAACTTTATATAGGGAATTGTTGGCTATGTTGTACTGATCATGAATCAGTACATCATAGCCAACAATTCCTTCGCAAACAGTGGGAAACTTTGTCTGAATAGTTTAACATTCAGACAAAGTTTCCCGCTGTCAGGGAGGGAATTAGAGGGTGGGAGATATATAGATAGACTATAAATCTCTCACCCTTTAATTCCCTCAAGAAAGTTCAAAAACTTGGGTGCAATCAGAACTGATTGCACCAAAGTTTTTGAATTTTGTATAAGGAATTGTTGGCTATGATGTGGATAGCCGCTGCCAGACCAAATGAATTAACCGTTGTGAATAACGTTTCTGAATCTTTATTTAAAAAGATAAAATATCACGATTTTGGCTGCGTTAAAAATCAAAGAATTGATGTTTTTGTCAAAAATCTTTTAGAAGAAGTTGCACCCAATTACTTTTATCGTATTAAAAACGATTTACTTCAAACAGGTTTTATTCCTTCAATTAGAATTCGCGAGCCTCGATTGACAGATTATAAAACAAAATTGAAAAGAGAAGTTCAATCACGTTTATACCAAGTATTAAATTTTGTTCAGAATCAAGAAGCCAATTTGAATCCATTAAGATTTTTATTGGAAAATGCTGAAGAAAAACTTTCTCAAATAAATGAGAAGATACAAAATTCAATTACATATTTAAGATCGTTTGAAATTCCAAATGAATTGTTAGATACGTATATGTTAGAAATTAATGAATTTTGTTATAATTCTCCAGATTATATTTTAGAACATTTCGAAGAATTTTTGGAGGATTTCAAAGAAAAGAATAATTTAATAGACTAAAAAATTTATTATTTTTATTTATTGTGAATTTTAAATTGTCACTTTTTAACTGTTACTCCCTATTGAAAGTGTCACTTTTTGGGTGTCACTTTTTCGGAAATTCTTATATACTCTAAGAAAAACTTTGTGAAATTTTGATTGTTGCAACTGTATTCGGAGATTTACTTCTGAACAAAATGTATAATGTCGGTGAGAAATAAAGATGGTCTGTTGTGTAATTTATAACTTTGTATTGAAATGTTGGTTGATAATAAGAATAATTAAAATCGTAATCATCCGAAGATGTGCTTATGTTCAATCTAACATCTGTTGGATCTAAGTAAACTGAGCAGTAATTCTTATTGATTTCATATTTTTTATTTGAATAATTGAAAGCTAGATCGTTCGATTCGGATAGAAATTCTATGGAATCGCAGTAATTTGGAAAAGAAACTACACAAAATCTTACTTTATAATTATAATACGTGTTTGTTGATTTAAAATTAAAAGTTGGCTCTGTGATTTTCCATATTTTGCTTGTGCATGATTCATAGTTAATACGCAAGTAATCGCTCATATATGTATCTTGTAGAATAAAATAATAACTAAATGATTTGTTATCTGCAAATGAAAAAGTAATATCTTGACCATATGAACCAATGTCAATTAAATAATCTCCTGTTCTGTTAATTATACCATTGGTGATTGTATAGTAAAACCAGGACATTCACAATGATTTTAATTTGAAAGCGGATCTATTCAGAATGAATTTTGAATATTTTACACAGTCAGATTGTCAAATCATTTTAGTTTATTGGATAATCCTTTTAATGTATTATTTTTAAAATTTTAAAAATAAAATAAAAGTGGATCCAAAATTTTTGTATCAGAATGGGTCAATATTTCATGAATCAGTCCTCAAGAACAAAAATGAAGAAGGTCGTAATTGCCTTATGCATCTAAGCTACTATCCAAAAAAGAGAAATTGGATTAGAAAAGGATTATGAGTGATTGAAATTAATACGTGTGCGAATAACCATGGATTTGTAAAAATTAATGCTTCAGAAATACAACATTTTGCTATTGAGAATTCCTTGTAAAGTCCAAATCTCAAAATACATAATTTTATATTTAGTTTGTTTGATGTTGAAACTATATTACCACCAAGAAGAGACAATATTATCTTAGTAAACATGTTTCAATTAATTTGATGTTCTTGGATATAAACTGCGAGTCAAAAGGCGTACCTACCTTCAACTTTTTGAGAGAAGTCATACAATTAATTATATGAGTTTCTCTCAAAAAGTCGATTTCTGCCAGGTACACCTTTTGGACCGCACAAGCTATTTGCTCTAATTCGATATAACAACAAAGGATCATAAAACAGATATAAATATAGGATGAACTGATACGATTTTTTCGGGTCTAACTTCAAAATTTAAGATTTCGAAATTTAATACAAGCTTCAAACCAGAAATTTAAGCATAAATAGAAGTTGATTTGCTACCTATTGCACGTGAAGCTTATTTGAGCTCTAATATTTAATAATTTTCTCTCGCTCTCAGTGAAGGCACCGTTAGCATTAGAAATGTAAACTATTCAAAAATTGATAGGTCCGCCTTTTGATTCGCAGTTTAAAGCATAAATTTTGTCAATTAAATTTTAATTACAGAATAAAAAGAAAAGTCAATAAAAGCATATGAAAGCTGACACGAATTATTCATAAGGATTATCGAATAATGATTTCGATTTTTGTGAATAATTTGGTATTTCTTTTGTTTCGATTAAATATGGATTTATTTGAACCTCTTCTAAAGGTAATGGTTCGGATTTATTAGATACTTCTTCTAATAGACAACTTCTATTATCAATGAAATGTTCATGAATTATTGATTGTGTTTCCTCTCTTTTTTCTTTTTTTTTAAGACATAAAAGAGGAATTGCAATGCTTGATGGTAATGATAGTCTTATTGTTATCAATTAAAATTATCTCCCATCCTATATAATAAAATTTGATTCAATATTACTAAATACTTTATGTTTCTTAATAATTGAGATGCCTAAAATGTTGATAATGTTGTTATAAACTTATTTTCACACGCTCAATCTTATGGGAGTAATAAGAATTGTAATAAAAAAAACATTATAAATCTTTAAAGATTCGTTCATAAACAATATATAAAAAAATAGTTATTCATAAGGATTCTCGAAATAAGTATTTGATTGTTCTTGCTTTGGATTATATGCTGGTGCTTTATATTCATTAGGATATGGATTGCTGTTCGTTTCTTCTAAAGGTAAATCTTTTTCGGTTTTATCAACAAGGCTTTGATTAATTGGATTTTCAGCTCTGAATTTTCTGTGTCTATAACATAAGTAAGCAGCGACAGCAATGAGACCTGCTCCAACTGCTGCTCCAATAATAATTTCCAAAACAGCACCTTCACTTAGTCCTTCATCACTATCATCATCAGAATAATTATGATCATCTGATTTTTGTTCAACTGGTTCTGATGAATTTATTTCATGATACGAATTATCAAAAATGATAAGAGATCTATGAGTTGAATTATTTCCTTTGATTAAATATGATGTATTATATTTGTCGCCAGCATGATAAAAAAATAAGTAATCGTGTTTAGAATTAGTTATTGTTAGAAAAGGTTTTTCAACAATAATATTAGCTCTATTTATTTTTCCATAGACATCATAAATATCACCATCTTCGAAATGAACTGTTCCATTTGTGAAAGCAGTAACAACACATGTATGAGCTGTGTCCTGAGAAGTGAATTTGTAATTAGACCTTACATTTGTGATAATCGAAGTGCAATCATAATAATTCAAATTAAAAACAACAAAATTACATGGAATAGGTTCGTCACTGGAGGATTCTAATGTAATTGTACCTGTGTGAGCGAAATAAATTGCTGAATATTGTGTATTTCCAAGAATTTCTAAAGATACTTCTGAAGTTCTTGCTTCTCCGGAAATGTTGCGATAATCAGTAAATACTACGTATTGTTCCTTATAAAAATTAAGTTTTGTTTGATTTCTGCCAATTAATAACTTTTGAATTCCGAATATTTTGTATTTTGGCTGGGATCCAAAAGAAATTGATTGGTTGCAAAGATATTCGAGCTTGTCCTTATCATAAGCACTGTATGTATCATAAGAAAAACTTTGTGAAATTTTGATTGTTGCAACTGTATTCGGAGATTTACTTCTGAACAAAATGTATAATGTCGGTGAGAAATAAAGGAAACAATAAGAATTACCGAAAAAGTGACAAAACATCAAAAACAGGGAGGGGGTCTCAATTTTTATTACTTATATTATTTTACAATATTTATATAAATACTCTTTATAATATATTTTACTATAAAATTATACCTCAAATTCAAATATTTATAATATTATTTACATAATTATCTCAAAATTATATTTTTATATATTATTTTTCATATGTATAAATCATATAATCTATATCTATGCAAATCTCATCTTAAAATTTTTTGAAGCAAACCGCTACCATTTTATAATGGTCCATCTTAAATTCATCATAAATTCTGGTACATGTTAGTACCAGAGTCTTCAAATCTCAAACACTCTGGTACCAACATGTACCAGACGCGAGTTTCCAATGCCCTCGTACGATTTTCTATTAAGATCTTCTTGAATGAGAAGGTCTTCATAGAAACTCGTACGAGGGCTTCTCTTTTAAATACTCTGGTACCTGCTGGTATCGGAGTCGACTTTACAGCCCTTTCCCCAATTTTGAAGCTGGGGAAAGTTTTCAAGCAATGAAAGGGAAGCTCTCGCTATGAGGTGAAAATCTAGAATTTTTACCTCATAGCGAGTAATCCTTTGTTAATTGCTTGAAAACTTTCTTCAAATTATCAAAATTTCGAGGAAAGTTTCCTTGCTTCAAAGTAGAGATGGAGCCCTTTGAGCCACTGCATATAGGTCAGTGACTCAAAATACTCCATCTCTACTAGAAATCGCCAAAATTTGGGTCGCAATCTTTGAAATGCGACGCAAGTTTGGGCAATTTCGCGAGGGACTTGCTCCATTTGGTGCATAGATTCACACTCTATGCACCAGATGGAACAATTCTTTCGCTGACAGCGGGAAACTTTGTCTGAATAGTTTAACATTCAGACAAAGTTTCCCGCTGTCAGAGAGGGAATGGAAGGGTAAGAGGTATATATTCATAATGTATACCTCTTACTCTTCCATTCCCTCAAGAAAGTTCAAAAACTTGGGTGCAATCAGTTCTGATTGCACCCAAGTTTTTGAACTTTATATAGGGAATTGTTGGCTATGTTGTACTGATCATGAATCAGTACATCATAGCCAACAATTCCTTCGCAAACAGTGGGAAACTTTGTCTGAATAGTTTAACATTCAGACAAAGTTTCCCGCTGTCAGGGAGGGAATTAGAGGGTGGGAGATATATAGATAGACTATAAATCTCTCACCCTTTAATTCCCTCAAGAAAGTTCAAAAACTTGGGTGCAATCAGAACTGATTGCACCAAAGTTTTTGAATTTTGTATAAGGAATTGTTGGCTATGATGTGGATAGCCGCTGCCAGACCAAATGAATTAACCGTTGTGAATAACGTTTCTGAATCTTTATTTAAAAAGATAAAATATCACGATTTTGGCTGCGTTAAAAATCAAAGAATTGATGTTTTTGTCAAAAATCTTTTAGAAGAAGTTGCACCCAATTACTTTTATCGTATTAAAAACGATTTACTTCAAACAGGTTTTATTCCTTCAATTAGAATTCGCGAGCCTCGATTGACAGATTATAAAACAAAATTGAAAAGAGAAGTTCAATCACGTTTATACCAAGTATTAAATTTTGTTCAGAATCAAGAAGCCAATTTGAATCCATTAAGATTTTTATTGGAAAATGCTGAAGAAAAACTTTCTCAAATAAATGAGAAGATACAAAATTCAATTACATATTTAAGATCGTTTGAAATTCCAAATGAATTGTTAGATACGTATATGTTAGAAATTAATGAATTTTGTTATAATTCTCCAGATTATATTTTAGAACATTTCGAAGAATTTTTGGAGGATTTCAAAGAAAAGAATAATTTAATAGACTAAAAAATTTATTATTTTTATTTATTGTGAATTTTAAATTGTCACTTTTTAACTGTTACTCCCTATTGAAAGTGTCACTTTTTGGGTGTCACTTTTTCGGAAATTCTTATATACTCTAAGAAAAACTTTGTGAAATTTTGATTGTTGCAACTGTATTCGGAGATTTACTTCTGAACAAAATGTATAATGTCGGTGAGAAATAAAGATGGTCTGTTGTGTAATTTATAACTTTGTATTGAAATGTTGGTTGATAATAAGAATAATTAAAATCGTAATCATCCGAAGATGTGCTTATGTTCAATCTAACATCTGTTGGATCTAAGTAAACTGAGCAGTAATTCTTATTGATTTCATATTTTTTATTTGAATAATTGAAAGCTAGATCGTTCGATTCGGATAGAAATTCTATGGAATCGCAGTAATTTGGAAAAGAAACTACACAAAATCTTACTTTATAA